TGCAGATTCTGCCTCATGTTTGGCCCATGAAACACAACATAATCTTGGAGGAGACCCCAGATTTCAAGGGGGCGTCACAAATAGGCACCAAACAAGACATCCCCCTCGTGGGCAGGGCCCCCCCCTCAACTGTTGATCGATTCTCTGGTGTGTCCAATGATTCGCTGAAATTTTTGGAGGTCCAAAACAGGGAAGGAAGGGACTGCTGCATCAACCGGAAAAAAAATATCTGCGTAATCAACCGCACCAGCAAGAAATGGGACCGGGAGAGGGCTTGGGTGCTCTGTTGGGATGGTAGCAAATCCCTTGGGTTTGCCCGCCACAAGCTCATAGCAGGTGGCAACCGAAGGGGCCGGCTTCCCCCAATCAGCCACCATGTCCAGCACGCCGTTTGCTGATCCAAACCTGGGTATGACCCATCCACCAACAGGAAGCTCAGTTTCCACACTTTGGACATACGTATTGGATTCCGGATCTTAGATCCAATTCTAAACAGAGAATTTAGATGTCTAAAATCCCAGGATCCTAAATCCAGGATTTAGCTTAAGTAGTTGTAGGCTCTAGATCCAATGGATATGTTTGATCTTGGATCAATCATATGCTAAATCTCAGAGCTTAGACTTCTGAATGCCCAAATACATGATCCAAGCCTTGACTAGTGGTTGACTCGCACAGGAATTGTTGGTGAAACATGCAAAACACCTAGCATGTAATCATAAGAGTCCTGCACTGTGTAGGCTTTATCTACGAATCTGGGGTTGTCACGTTGGCCAGTCCTGGTCGCGCTGATGTTGAGCTGCCTCAAGCTCCTGCCCAGTTGAAACAAGTTTGCGTCAAGGAACTGCTAAAATGTGCTTGCTTCTCTGCGAACCAACTTAAAAGGATACCCTCAACAAACGCATGCAAAGATATGTCAGGGCGCTTCCAGTTTCCATTCAAACCGGGTACCCTCAAGAAAACACACCAAATTGAAAACTGAGCGGAGAGCTCCCGACTGTTTCACTCGACCCGTGGCTGCCAAGCAAGAGGGACTGGCACCCCATCGCTCGAGCAAGAGGTCGATCATCTTTTGTAGGTTCATAATGGAAAAGTCATGTGTTTCCAAAAACGGGCCTGACCGAATGGGCCTGACCAGGCCATTGGCGTCCCACCAACGGTCTTTCCAAAGGCCACGGCTTCCGTCCTCCCAGCAGCGCTTCAGCATCTTCGCCAAGTTGCGGACGCATATTTCCCTCATTCGACAAAAAGGTCAAACCCTAAGGGTCCTGGGGCTTGGTAGCAGAACCCGGGGGTCCTTACCACACCCCGATTTGCTTTAGGGGTCTCAAAACAAGTGATTTTGGGGCCCAAACTCCATCGGTAAACTCAAATACAAGCGATGTTGTTGTCCAGAGAAACCGACCAAGTGTGCAAGACACTCAAAACTAGGGAGAGGTCATGACCCCTCACTTTTGCGTAAGTTGTGCAGGCATATGCAGGCATAGTTTTTCGGCTCACTTGACAGTCGTGCCGGGTGAGGGAGGTCTATTCCACCTGAAAGACACCTTGAGGTCCCCAGACCCAACAACAATCCTGGAAAAGGGGCTTTCTTCAAAAGCCCCTCCAATAGAGGTCCCTGAAACTCACCCCTCCATTGGAAGGTTCAATGAGGCCTAGAGCAAATAAATCCATGGCTTAATTCGAAATGTGCTGAGGGCAACGGTCGAAATTGCGTAGGCTTAATCGCGGCTGATGGTATGAAGGGGCATGTGCCAACATGGTTCTTTCTGGGGTCGCGCCCAACCACTCAACAATATCGAAACTCAGCAAAACCACAACTGCAATGGTCTTCCAAAAGGAGTGCCAGTTAGTGATTGGGGCATCATATCAGGGTACCGCTCCTGAGGTGTGGATTTAAAATAATCTACCATGCTTCCGATTTCCGAATAATTGCAAAGATGGAATACAACAAATCCCCGAACTTCGCCAGGGACAAACAGCCGCATCTCGAACTGAAAAGTCGTCTTCCAATTCGGGACCCCAACCACAAGCTGGCCGTGTTGGCCCTCAAACGGCCAGGTTTGCTCCGAAGACCCAACTCCGACACAATGTGATACTTGTTACTTATTTGTTTCATGGTTCAAAGGAAGCCAAGAATTTGCCTACTGATTTGCTCATCTTTTAGATCTGGGCACCCTGTATGGAGCCTGCAAGGGGTGCGGGGGAGGGGGTGGGGATTGCGCCGTCCCGCCCTCTGCGAGTGCGGCTTCTGGCGCCATCTGGGCACCCGCGCTTGGTGATAGTGCAGTTTCTGCAAAGGAAGACCTGGCGCAAGTCGTTGGTCCAACGCCTCATTTGCCCTGCGCCTTGCTCCCCGATACATATGAACCCATGGGGTACCTCCTTCTTGGGGTCCATGTTGATTTGCAGCGGAAGTAATCTTTGGATGTGGTGGGTGGTATGCAAACACCCCAACTTACAGAATTGTTGGACGCGCGCTGGTGCGTAACGCGCGTTGGTG